GCCACCATCCTGGAGGACCCCGAGTTCGCCTTCAGCGAGTCCGACAGCTACGACTCGGACAGCAACGGCGTCTACGAGTTCACCCAGGACCTGCGGCACGGCGACCAGCGGGACCAGCTCCAGCAGCAGCGGGGCAGGAGGAGGAGGAGGAAGAAGAAGCCCAAGGAGAGGAACAGAGTCACCCGGCTCTGGAAAGCGTTCGGCAACAAGCTGAAAAGGATCGTGGAGAGCAAGTATTTCAACCGCGGGATCATGATAGCCATTCTGATCAACACGCTGAGCATGGGCATCGAGTACCACGAGCAGGTGAGTGCCGAGCTGGCCGGCCAAGCGCCGCCTTGCTTTTCCCTGCGCGCAAACCTGAGGGTTTCTGGTTGCGGTGCAGCGGCTCCCCCCCGCGCCGGGAGGGCCCTGGCGCGGTGGCAAAGGGGCGATTTGGGCATCGGGGGGAAGAGCCGGCGGTTTCTCAGCAAGCCTGCGACACCGCGTGAGGTGATCCCGCGGATTTGTGATGAATGTGAGCATCTTGCTGGGGGCGGAAAGCCTGGCAGGTTGCTCTCCAGAGTCCCGAGGGGTGGAGAGTTTAACGGGGTGCGTTAGGACCCGAAGGCTCAGAGCCTGGCTGTACCGAGTGAGTTATTTGCTGTGAATTATTTGGAGGAGCGGGAACTGTTCTGCTGGAAACGGCCCCTTTTATTCACTGTTGTTGATGGTTGTGGTTGATGGTGCACTGCGACATGTGCGTATGAAGCTGATTTCCTCAAGACCTCCACCTCATAATGCAAATAACCCGTTGAGAAGTTTCTTCTTGATGTTTTGAGTCTGGACCTTCAAATGAAGACTTAAACTGTCAGGCTAAAAACAAAAAAAAAAAGTCAGTTTTTCCCTTAAGTAGAGGGCTCCATGCTTAGCCCCAAATGTGTAATTTGATCTTGTAGGGTGCAAGTAGATCTTTCTTCTAAGTGTTTGGAGGGAGGAAAGAAAAATCATGCTGTTCCCAGCATTAGTCTGAACATCATGATGGCAGCAAGCAGTATTGGCAGCTGGGGACGGCTCGTCCTTGCTGGCTGATTGGAGCTGAAGGGCTGCACGATGGGAGAGGGACGTTGAGTCATCCGAAGGTTTCCAGTTGGTCACTCTATGGGGAGCTTTGCTTTTCTGTGCTTGTCTTTCTTGGAAAAACTGATTACTTTCAACTGTTGTCTGAAGATGTGCTCTGGAATTTTGCATGCTGTCCCTGCAGGAGATGCAGAAAAAGCTCCCCCATGAGACCAGGAGGTCCTCGTACTAATTTTCTATGACGCAGGTGGTGACAGGTTCATCCAGTTTTCTCCCCAGATCTCCAGCACAGAATCAGGAATGGGTCACATCTGTTTACGGAATAATCCTCCTCTCTGCTGCAGTCTGTGCCATCAGAGGTGAGGAGAAGCAGGCAGAGCAGCATAGTATGTCCAAAGGCAGGATGTGATGCTTTGCATTTTCTTCTCCATGATTTTCCCAGGATTCACAGTTTCCGCTCAGTAGGTAGCAAAACAATCCCCCAAAGTGCTGCTACTTCATTTTCTCCCCACCTACCTGCTTGTAACCCCCATAGTCTTTGCTGTGTGAGGTATATTTTCTTTCAGAAAAGCAAATACTCAGCGAAACGCATGAACGACAGCCTTGCAAGAGTAAACTAGTTTGCGCGTGAAGTAGAGAGGGTCCAAGCCCAACGCAGAAATAACTGTCGCTCTCAGCTTTGTCTGGCTAGTTGTTCCACAGTAACTCTTAAAACGAGGAAATACACCTTGTCAGTCGCCCTTGAGTAGAAGCGTTCGTTCCTCGCGGCAGCTGTGTTTCTGCACGGATACTCTTTGTCAGACGGATATGGCTTTGTCAGTCCTTGGATATTCCCATGGTGGGTGCTGGGGGGAAACCTTAGACAGGCTGCCGTGAGAAAAGCCAGGGATCGCATGGAGTCTGTCCACAATCACACGTACAAAGGTAAATTGTGATAATTGCATCCTTGTTCCTGACAGAGTAAAAGTCTAGCCTGCAGGTTTACATTGGGTTTTACCTTGTAAAAGATTTGTTTTAAACCATCGCAAAGCCAATGGCAATAAAGATTCTGAAGCTTTTGGCTAAAGATCATCAGCTTCCTGCCAGCTTTGCTCACAGGCACTGCCCAGCTTGGGCCCAATAAAAAGGGAAGAATTTTGAAGTGAAACCTGTAAAAGTTTCTCCACGTGCCTCACTGCAAGGTGTCTCTGGTACGCAGCAGGGATAGCAAGCGGGGGAGCTGTCAGAGCCCAGCTTCTGAGCACCTCGCCCAAGCCGTCTGGTATCGGCAGAACCACCTCCAGGGCATTGCCTGAGGCCATTACACACTCCTAAAGCAATAGAAAAATGACTCTGGGCTCCCAGAGGAGCAGAGAAAGTTTGGCAGGAAAGTTTGGGGCTTCTGTGAGCAAAGCGGGGTGATTTCAGAACCTGAAGGCCCCCCTCATGGGAGAATTGGCTGCGAGACTCGAGGTGGGGGTCTGGATTTGTGCAGAGACGCAGAGTGGTTGCCTGAACGAAGCTGTCACGAACCCACGGTGTGTTGTTGGGTATGCCATGCTCATTGCCAGAAAAAACAGTTTAAACATAACTTTCGAGTTACTGAGTGATGGATGAGGCCCAGCCGCTCTGCACCTCCACTCAGAGCAGGTATTATGCAGGCGAGGTGTGAGCCTTCCCCGGGCTGTTAAACCAGCCCCAGGTATTACCATTGCCACCTCCTCCATCTTCCCAAGGTCAAACCTGGAGGCCAAGCCCTGAGTCCTAAGGCTTTAGGAGCTGCCTACAAGGACAGCTACTTTGCATTGTTCTCCTGGCTCTCCTCCACCCTCCTTGCCTCCTCCAAGCTGTTCAGCGCTACTGAGAGAGCGGGAATCGGTGAGCTCCCTTGGGGGACACCTCCTGTGGTCTGTGTGTGCCGACAGCAGCATCAGCGGGGTGCTCCTCAGCCCTGAAGCCCTGCAAAACATCACCCACTGTGGAGACGTTTGCTCTGGGTGGAAGAGTTTAAGCAGATTCCCTGGCCTAAACTCTCCCTACTTGTTCTGCTGAACAGCCAGCAACTGGCTGCATCACACTGGGCTAAAATCAGTGCAACAGCCATGGGGGAGCCCTCCCCATACCTCACTGCCTGTAAGGAAATGCCCGTTCCCTTTAAAAGAAATCATTAAACAGCTGCTTGCTTTTCTTTTCTGGCTTCTCAGATTTAATACAGTCATCAGTAGCTTTGGAGATAGATGGGCACACTGTATTCATTTTTATTTCAGAGTGTTATTCAAAGCCAAAGCATCAATCGCGTGTGCATGTGGGAGGGGTGGAGGGTACTGAACAACATATGACAATGGAAGATAGAGCAATACTAGTCCTTGGTGCATTATCTTGCCTTTCATCCTGGGATATGGCTTTGTGGAGAAGTCTCACGGAGCCCTCTTGAGGCAAGCAAGTATTATTGTCACTATCTTCTGGACGTGGAAATTTGGACCCGCAGAGGTTACGAGGTGCCAGGCTGGAGGCAAAACCGCATGGTTTTCACTGCTGGCCATCATTGTAACTGCAGGACAGGGTGGTACCTGGGCCATAATAGCATTTTGGTAGCACCCTTTGACAAGACGGGAAGCTGACTTGTTTTGTGCCTGTACTGCTGCAGTCGCAGATGCTACCTCAGGATGAATAATAGCAACCCGTTCAAACCCAAATCCCTTGAGGCTCGAACAAGGGTTTTTATGAGGGATTTGAAGTGCAGGGCAGTCTGCTCACATGGTTGCTCTGGCTGCTTTTTTGGCCAGCATAGCTGGGATCACCCCATTTAGTGCCTGCAGCCCATGTGCCCTTTTAAGGCAGGAATCTTGCCTTGCAGCTAAACGAATGACCATAGCAACAGGTTACTCATGGGGAAGGAAAGGACATGCTAGAGGTGCATTGCACAGAGATGCCCTTTTAATAGTCCTGCTCTTCTCAGAGACAGATTGAAGATTTCATGGCAGCATAGCCACTTTGTGGCAGGACATCCAGGTACCAGGAGGCAGCTGATGATGGAAAGTGTGTTTCTTTGGGACTTCAGTCATTAGCAGCAGTTGGATCCTCCCACATAGCACATCCATGGGGTTAGCAGCCAGCCCTGTCTTCAACTGCTACATTGCACATGGTTGATAATTAGGAGGTTACAGGATGCTGTTAGTAGGAGCATGACTTGTATTTCAAAGGTTAATTGGCTGCTTTGGAGTTCCTTCTCCTTCCCCCTCCCCCACTTTGTGCATTTTATTTTATTTTATTTTTCATCTCCAGCACAAATAAGCACTCCCACAGATGGGGAAAGCCAAGTACAAGAGGAAGGCAATCATTGCATTATTCTCCCAGGCAATTTCAATAAACTGAATGATTTCATTCCACATTCGTTGCAGCTGACAACTCTCTAGAGCATCCGAGAATGGGCCATGGTACTGCAGCAACTAAGCTAAACTGTCTGGTTTGCCAAGCCAGAATAATGCACTCCAAGAATATGACTTCTGCCATGCCCCTGGGGCAACGTAGAGAGGTGTCTCGTGCATGCAAGCCCTGTTCCAGGAGCTGCGTTTCCAAGTGCCTCTGCCACTGGAAACTGATCCCTTTTTGCCCCACAATCAGCTCCTGTGTGTGATTCATGCACTGGTCTGAAATCATAATTGCTGCTCCTTCTATCTGCCTCTGCTGCAGGGCCAGTTGAGCCCCGGTAAAGAGTAGTGGACTCAAATCTTTTTCATCTGTTGCTAAGGCTGTGCCCCTGGCTCAGTTAGATGTAGAGCTGTGGTGTGAATTAGGGAATGGGTGAGACAACAACTTAGTCCTGCAAGGGGAACTGAATTCACAGAGCCCCAGGTGTCCAGGAAAAGGACAGAGTCCTGTTCATTTATCCTAGAGAGCTGCTGGCATTATCCCTGCAGACTGTTGAGCTCTGAATTCATCCCTGAGGACCTTTAACTGTTGTGAGTTTGGGAGGAGAGACCCTACTTGGCTTCCCAAAGGAGTCTGAAGGACTAGCTGTTGGTAATTGTAAGATTCCACATAAAAGGCTCAATTTACATCAAATGGCACTAGAAATGGTATTTTATATTCACTTCTCAAAAGAGAAGTACAAATTAATATTTGTTCTAAGCTATTGCTGTTCAAAGGGCTTTTAGTTGGCTTTCTGATCCCTTACTTGTGGTATGTTTCATTCAGAGCAGCTGTCTTTGCAGTAGATTGGAGCTGACCTTAGGGGGCAACTTAGTGGTCCATGCTGATCAGGGTAG